CACATATACAGATATAAACAAAGATAGGCTCAACCCAATTAGGGATGGACCAGCAAGAGGTCAATCTTTCCCTAGTGAAGTCGTCATTTTTCTGTAGCGGTAGAAAATTTTAAAACTAAGCCATTGGATTGACTAGACTTATACAAATCAAAATCAAAATCGCCACTGCACTTTATTGTTTCCAAAGGAATGAGAAAAGTGCGAATAACCCAAAAATAGGGGGAAAGATTCTAGGTAAGGGGGTTGGTTGTGCAAAGGGAAGGTATTAGAACCTTAAACTTCTACGGTACTCCGCAGGAACCTCTTTGTAAAATCTGTATATTTTGGCTATAAAAAAATGTTGTATAAGATAGATGGTGGAGGTGAGAAAAGAAATATATATATATTTTTTTAATGATTTTTGCACCCGCCGCGGTTGCTAACCTTTAGTGCCTACATACCACCTTTTCGTGCAATAGGGGATCAGGATACACATAGTTCCTCTTTTAAAAATTTTAAAACACAAGTGTGTTGGTTAATTTTATGAGATAAGACATCATCGTCATTGTCCGTGTGGAAAACATACTTACTACCCACAATCATGAGAAATGAGAATTTGCATCATCTCAAAGTGGAGGATATGGCTTGGATTTTAAAATCAACAATGCCTCACTTAACACCCAAGTGGAAAATATCTCTCTTCACTGCAAATTGTAGAAGTATAGTTGTTTGCATCACTACAAGGATTGGCAAGAGTCCAATCTTTTTGAGAAAAGCTTAAAGATGAAAGCCAAGGTGGCAAAATGATTTGAATGAGATTGATTGACTTTTAGTCTTCTCACAAAAAGGATGTCAAAGTATTATTAAGTTTATTGGAGTTTATTTATGAAAATGTTTGAAAATGCATGGACCTAACTCCAAGTTTATTATGAAAGTGGTTCAAGTTTAAAACAAGAAGAGTTTTCAAAAGGAGGGAGAAGATTTTTGAAATTAAAGAAGATAAGAGGAGAATAAGGGACTATCCTAAAGCATAAGGTAAAAGTTAGGGATAAGAACCATCTAACCAACAAGAAGCCAATACTTGACACTATGAGCCAAGATAGAATTCCCATTCTTTGGATTGAAACCAATCAAGCAAAAATACTAGACCTCTTGAGAGAACCAAACTTCAAGTGTATTAAGTCTTCACAAAAATTGGGCAGAGTAACGGCTGTATACGGGTGAATTCCAGATTACAAATAAAGGGTGTAATCACAATAACCTGCATACAAAACAAAAAAATAACCCAATGTCTTGAGGTAAACCTCAAGAGCTCCAGACAAAATAATCAGATAATATCACAAGGTATCCAATCATAGGCCAAGGTTTCTAATCCTAAGTCCAAAAAGTCCAATGCTCCATAATGCCAAGGATAGTAACCAAATAGTCCAAGTATCTTTAAAGATTTTTAGGGTTTGTGTTTATTATTAGGTGTTTTAAAAAGAAAAGTAAAACTCAAGTGAGCAAAAATAAAAATGACAAGAAAGTAAATACTCAAATGAGCAAAGATGAAAATGGCATGAAATGTAAATGCTAAAAGTAAATAGTGCATAAAATAAAAGGGGCATATAATAAAAGAATAAAGGATAAAGTCAATTATTAGTGGTTAGTGGTTAGTTGGATGATCATCTTGAAACTTGCATTTGGAACTCATTAGGGGATTGGTAGAACCAAAGCCTCCACATAACAAGTTGCATTTGCTTTTTGTCAAGTATATCATCCATTTAGAATCCTTATGAGTATCATTTAATGATCAACGATGTTTATGTGATCCCCGTTGACTAAAGGTGTTGTAGATCCATTAGAGGATTGGTAGAACCAAAGCCTCCAAACAATAAATCTCAAGGTTATTGGATCAAAGAGATCAAATTAACATACTTGGGCTTACAAACATAAGTTTGGGCCACAAATGATCATTTATTCGAATCGGAATAAAATTTAGCACTATGTTAAGCAATGGTAAGTGGACTTATATAGAAGTCGCACCTATTTTGAGGCCGGTCAATAGAAATCTATGCACCATTTATTTTGAGACATGATATAGAGATCATGCTCCAACAACATTTAGTGCAATAAGAAGGGGATAAGATCAAGAGGGGTGGGAGAGAATATACAAATCACTTTTGGATTAAATTTAATCAAACTATTATTAAAATCATTCATCCATTTTTATGGAGTTAGACTCAACACCATGGATCCAATGATGTTAATAAAGTTCATGATAAAAATTTAAACCAAGATCAGCCAGAAAATAGTCACAAAATAATATTACATATATATATATATATATATATATATATATATATATATATATATATATATATATATATATATATATATATATATATATATATATATATATATATATATATATATATATATATATATATACAAAAATGTTAAATATAATGTTTAAAAATAGAAATAAAAGAGAAAAATATCAACTATGTTCAAATTAATCAAGAAATATAAAGTAAGACCATAGAGAAATCAGAAATGAACTAAAATGAGTTTATAAATTTTTTGGTGATTTTTTAAAGTCAAAAACTATTTTTAAAATTAAAAGAAAGGAGTAAAATAAACCAAAAATGATTTAAAAAAAACAAAGTCAGAAACAAAAATAAAATAAGTCATCAATATTTGTCACAATATCATTGGATCATTCCATAAATTTTTTAGAATTTAAAAATGCATAAAAGTATTTTTAAACATTTAAAACAATTCAAATAAAGTGTAAATTTATAATAAAAAATACCAAAACACAAAATTAAATTGTAAAAAAATAAAAATCAGAAAGAGAATAATCAAAAATATTTTTCATAATTGTTTCAGGTTTTTTGGACTAAAAATGAATTTTTTATGATTTTTTAAAGTTTAAAACAATTAAATATAAAGAATCAGAAAAGAAAATAAAAGTCAAAAATATGTGGACCATTGGATGAGAGTCAAAACGTGTTAGTAATCAGATTCAAAGGATCTGGCGCGCTGTGCATATCATGGTCATTAGTGAATAAAGCACTGAATCAATTATTAAATCAGAATTCAAAAATAACAAGTGGCACGCCATCATTGGTTGGAAGATGACATGTTGGTCATCTTCAACCTCCAGCACACGTGAATTGTAGGTCTCTCAAACTGTAAAATCAGAAGCTCAGACATATGTCATTCGCTTTGTCTCTTCAAGACGAAGACAACCACACCATCGCGCCAAATTTATATAAACTGTAGCTCAAACAATTTGGAAGGAAATTTTTGAAAAGGGATTTGAAATTGTATGGTCAAAACGTGTTTCCAGTAAAAAGCAAGTGTTGCAACTAGAACCAGGGCAATGAGAGCATCACAATGATATCAAATTTTTGAAGAATTGATAAAGGAATCTACCTATTGAAAATCAGTTGCAGAGCTCTGAAACTGGACTTCTATGGGGAGATATAGGGCACGATTCTTGAATGTAATTATATGGTTAGCTTCATTAAAGATCAAGGAAGGTGAATTGATGAAAAAATTGGATTGAAAAAGGCTTGTGTATGGATTTCGAAGTTGCTGAATTCTGAGTTGTGGAACAAGTTTGGCAGGGTGATTCTGGCTATCCAAGCTTGAGGAAATGAATGGGGAATGACCCTCTATTTATAGGGAATCAAATGGAATGTCCAAGTGTGTGAAATGATGAAGTTTGGAGGGAAATCGTGTGAAGTTGCAAACAAGAAAAGTGTGACTTCTAATTTGATCAAAACTCATCCAAAACGCGCGTTTTGTTGTGCTAATCAGTTCTGGAAGTTCATTAAACATGTTTAGAGGCAAAAACGCGTGGAAAACTTGTGATTAGAAGCCAAAACAAGGATTTTAAATTCTGACTTATGGAGAAACTTCAGTTCCAAGTTACCAAGTTCAATCCAATGGCATTCTCAGCTCAAGGGGTCTTAAGGCATGATTCTTGATGCTTTAGAAATATGAGGTTACAATCTTTAAAATGGAAAAAGAATGGAATCAAATGGATGCTTGAGTTGAAATTTGTGTTGAGTCAAAGTTGGAGAAAAAATATTGACTTTCCATACTTAGAAATATTTCAAATTTTTCTTCAAAAGTGACCTATAATGTCTTGCATCCAAACATAGCCTTCCACTTGGAATTTGCTCTTGACCAAAAAATATGGCATGAAGTAGATCTCTTGAATGACATTTTGAAACTTGAACCATTCAAAATCTCCAAAAATTGAGAGAGTTATGAATTGTTGAAGTTGGCAAAAAATCATGAAATAACCTATAATCTTTTGTATCCTTAGGGAAATTTCCATCCATTTTCTAACTTTGCATATAAATGAAGGCATAAATTTCACATACTCAAGATCATTGTAGAAAAATAATGGGCTCAAGGTGATAAAAATTGACCAAGTTATGATCATTTGAAGTCATACATGGAAAATTGGGGATTCATCTGGAGGACTTGTAATCTTTCTTCCTCATCAAGTTTCTTCCACATAAAAACTCCTTGGAACTTTTGAAGTGATTTGTTAATAACCCTTTGAAGATAATGATGTCTTTGGAATCACTCAAAAATACCAAAATATGAGCAAGATATACTCCTTTGAAGTTCAAAACCCTAGCTCCTAAATTAAGAAACATGTCTTAAGGAACTTTGACAATTTTGAACAAACTTCTTGTACCAAAACAAATGATTTGTAAATATAAGTTGTTGAGGATGATAATGAGAACTCATAGCAATCACAACCACTTCCATATATTTAGAATTGAGAGGAACATGCACTTATGACCAAAAGGAATAAAATCTTGTCCAAACATGACTATTTTTTCAATCAACCCCTTGTACTTTTTGGATCAAATGTGATAATATTGAAATATGGTGAACCAAAATAAGCTTGCCATGCCATTTCCTCCAAAACAACTTCAATGGTGAGGCTTGAACTTCTCAAGCTTTATTGACTAGGGCATGGAAATAAACTCATGAACCCATGAGGCAACTTGTTAAATCTCATTGCCTTTACCTGCATAGATAACAAGCAAGACAAACCAACATTGCATTTTATTAATTAAAAGAAGAAATCAAGACAAAAAATATTCATGATCACAAAAGAACACAAGTCAAGGTGCTTGGTGATTCCTCAAAGTGCAAATCTAAATATAGGGAGGGGAATCAAGAATCCTAGTGTGATCTTATTGTAATGGAATCAACATGGTATGATGAAGGGATCTTAGAGGCAAAAATTGGGGTACAACAGCAGGTATGTGAATTATCAGAGTTATGTTATTTATCCTATAGGTCGTGATAAATACATAAGCATATCCTCATGTCATTTATCCTCTAGGTCGTGATAAATGCACTAACTTATCCTCGTATTATCTACCCTCTAGGTTGTGGTAGGTATACGATTATTTGTGGAAACTGGTTTTAAAATTGAGAGTCGCCACCATTAATTTTTATCCTAGGGAAGAGAATATAAAGTATAACCCTAATTTGGTCAGAGATTCTAAGTTGTTGGACTCGTTCTTAGACGAAGGGAAGGTGTTAGGCACCCCTCATCTACCTTGTTCACAAGGATACTAGGGTTTATAATTACGGCTTAGGAAATATGGTTTTAATTTTTATTAGGGGAACTCGCCATGATTTTAGTCGTATACCTACGTATTCTCTTATAAGGAATCAGAGTCCCAATTTGTAGTTCGCACTTGGTTGGTGTTTTTATGGATTACAAAGATGTTTTGAATTTCTCTTGCACTAGTCTAGGTGTGTGAATAGCGGAGTTGTTAGACGAAGTTCACAGTTGATTTAAAAGCATCCTCGTAAGCCTTTTTGAAAAATTGTTTTAAATTAATTAAACTATTAAAAAAGAGTTTAGTGTTGGTTAAGTATTTTTTAAATGTATTAATATATAAATAAAAAATTTAATGCATGGCAAAAATAATTTCAATGTAATAAATAAATATTTGGGTGAATTAGAAAAATAAACATTTTATTTTTAATAATAGCAAAATAATATTATAATTTATTAATGTATTGAATTATAAAAATAATAATTATAAATAATAAAAATAATAAAAGAAATTAAAAAAATGTAGGGGGTGTATTTTGTGTTGAGCTAGTCAAACAGGGGGATATGGGAAGTAGTGTCCTGAATTTAGATACTGAATTCAAGCCCAAATGCAGGAGGGGGTGTTGTTTTGAACTGTGCAGAAAATATGGGGAGTATAAGAAGTAAGGGCCTAAGTCCAGATATTGCACTTGACCCAATAACACAGGGGGTGAAAGTTATGTTAGCATAACAAAACAAAAAAATAAGGGGGGCGTGAATATCATGGGCTCAGGCCCAAAACAATATATGACCCGTTTAGACAAAGTATGGGAGAGACCATGGACTCACTATGGACACGTGATTATAGGATGTTTGATGTTGATCTGAATGTTGCAATGAGAAGCACACGATAAGGTTTCTGGACGTGCAGGCACAGAATCAGGGAGGGTTATAAAACCATTTAGTGGGCTGAGAGTCCATTTTTTCTCCCTCTTCCTCTCTCTACAACAACACAAATTTTTTTTGTGTAAAAACCTAGAGAGAGAGAGAGAGAGAGAGAGAGAGAGGCTATGACCTCTCTCTAAAACTCAGGAGGCCGGAAATCACCTTGGTTTCACCATCCTCCTTGAACCACTGCCAGCCATCCTTTTTCCCAATTTTCCAGTTGACATTCAACCGGAAACTTCAAACACTCAAAACCCTCCACCGTGAATCTTCATCTGGGTTCGTAGAACCCTAAGGGTTCTTGATGAACCCTAACTATACAAAAACCCATAACACACAGAAACTATGAACCCTAACCTTGATCTTCAACCAACCCTAGGTTAGAACCCTAACCCTAGAAAACCCAAAATTTCCAGAAACACAACATTCAAACATCAATCATGAAAACATAACAACAACAATTAATAGCCCTAAAGCTAAGTGATTTGTGTTACCTCTCATGTTGTGACACTGGTCGTGCAGTTTTGATTTCCTTAATCTCCTTTTGATCTATCACTTCTTCTTCTTTTGCTGGTAGGTACTAAGGTGGCAGCAGCATAACAGTGGTACGGCGAAGAACTTTAAGGTTTCAGATATTGAAGGCCTAAACTTCTTTTCTTCTTCTTTTTGTCAACTCGTTCTTCTGGTATTCTTCCCCTCTCTTAGAAATTTTAGGTTCTATTTATAGGTTTAATTTTTAGACAGTTTAGGAATTTTGTTTATGACTGTCGTTATATTTTTAATTGTATTAGGAATTAGGAAGATTTAGATCTCTTTTAAGGATTCGATTTTATGTAATGGAAAGATATGATTAAATTATATTTGATTTAGTCTAAACTGATTTGATTTTGATTCATTTTGATTTCAAATGCGTTTTGTTAGTCTAAGCTAATTGTCTTAGTAAAGAAGAAAAGAAGTGGTGCAATTTAGGGTTTCCACCCTCCACGTTGACTCGGGTCAATAAAAAACTAAAATATAATTTAAAAAAATAAACAATAGTAATAGTAAAATAAGTATTAAAAATATAAATAAATAAATAAAAAGTATTAATAATGTTTACTAAATAATGATTAATCAAAAAAATACAATACAGGTCCTCAAAAAAAGTCTGAACTAGGCCAACATTGTCCAGTTATTGGGCCCTTCAAAATGCACCGCCCTTTCTTTGTTAAAGCGCGTCAAATATCACTCCTTTCTATCTTGAGTCGGACCAGCAAAATTGTCTTAATGAGCCATCAGATTTTGATGACCCAAACTACCTTACCCCCTATTATAACAATACCTCCCTCTTATATCTTGTAAGGCAAAACAAAATAAATCATCAAGGTTACATGGGCCTTTCTTATTTAGAAAGCCCATAAACTCTTTTGTTAAAACACATCCCTCCTTATACACCACAGTAATTTGACATTAATAAGGAATAATTTAGTTAGAAATTTGTAGGAAAAATTTGGGGATATGACATTATCAAGTTTATGTTATTTATCCTCTAGGTTGTGATAAATACATAAGCCTATCCTCGTGTAATTTATCCTTTAAGTCGTGATAAATATACAAATCTATACTCATGTTATCTGCCCCCTAGGTTGTGGTAGGTATGCGAGAATCTGCAATATAGTTCATTGTGTTAGTCTCCGTGCGACAATGAATTATCAGACTCTGTGTTATTCATCCCCTAGGTCGCAATGAGTATACATAATCTACGTTAAGCTTACTATGTTAGTATCGAAGCATTAGTAGGTCAATTTTCAAAATTGTGTTATTTACCTCCTAGAGCATGGTAAATATGGAGAAATCTACAATCACTTTTTAGGTATTGGAGGGTTATCCGCGTCGTCATACTTCTTGCTCTAACTCTGATAAGATGATATATCATCATCTTTGCCTATCTTCATTCATTTTTTGGGGTATGCTTTACAATATATCCTTATCTAGCCAACCTATGGTCAAAATCCAGGGTCTTATATTATTTAATAACCTTCTGATTCGAATGTGCGAGATCTGCGTATTCTCGCACCCTTTAATCGAAGAGTAATTAAATATGGGCAACTGTCATATCTCAAATTTTCCCGCCCTTTATTTCTATAGTCAAAAATATTTTCAATATGGGCTTTTATAATATTCTTTGGTTCAATTTTACAAACATTTTAACAATAATTTATTTCACTCATTTAAAAATGTATAATAGTTTATTTCAAATTATTTGTATTTTAAATAGCAAATATTTGTTCACTTTCATATACTTTCAATTGGATTTTTTATTTCAAATGAGTAACATAACACAATTAGTAAGAAATGAAGTTTACAAGTATGAGGTGGTGGGTTCAAATATCTTATGTTGCACTTTTAACATTTTCTTTTTCTATTTTGTTACTAATTTTCTTTCCTTTTTTAGACATCAGACTTTGGGCTTTTCAGTGTTTTAGATAACTTCCTTTTTAAGTTTTAAACCTAATTTTACCAGGACTATTGCCCATCATAATTAATCATCCACAATTTCACAATCTCAATCTCTCTTTTACTTTTGATTTATTCTAGTTTTGATTTATTCTAGAGTTTCTGAACAGAAACTCTGAGAAGCAGATCCAAAAAACCTCCACAAATCCTTTTTGTATGTAGCACACACATTAGATTTAGGACATTCTTACAAAATTTTCACTACACCACCCAAAGTTCTTTTTCTACAAGAAAGCATTTTTCTATTTAGTCGAAAGACAAAACCATAGTTGCATAAACAAAAATAAACCAATTATCCATCACTATCATCACCAATTAAACAACACCACCACAATACCATCAATACATAGCAATCCAAACACCCACAACTAAACATCGAAGAGAAACATGGAAGAAGAGAAATCGTGAAACTCATACCACCGACAAATTTCCCCGGACGATGTAGCCAGATAACAAGCTCCTCGTCGACCACCACAAGACCGCCCAATCCACTCCAACATCGCACATAGAGCAATCCCGTTGCAGGGTCCACCCTCGCCGATGGATCTCGATGACAGCCACAGAACGTACCTCCAACGCAACTCCGCTTCCGCCCCACGCCGTCGACTGCTCCCACATGTCGATGAGCCTCCATCCGTCACGTTCAACCTGCGACAACCTCAGATCCATAAACACGCTTCAGTCCTCTCTGATAACACCATAACTCAGCCGCGAAACCAATATCCACCAGATCCGCCGCCTAAATCTCTACCGGACTGTTGCAATCCCTGCTCAGCATAACCACCTACGAAGCCTTTCGTTCACGCCGCTGAAGAACCATCCACCGAATAGAGTTAGTTCCTTCACCTATTTTTTTCATTTTGTTTTCATCTTAATGTTTGTTGGTTATTTAGGAGTAAGGGGAAATTGATGTGAAGAAGAGGCAAATGGTGCATAGGAAGAAAAGGGAAATTTTTTCTCTATAACAACAAGTTTAAAAGTAAGAGAGAGAGAGAGAATAAGAGCTCGTTGAAAAAGAAAAGAGAAATGGGTTTGATTTGTGTCTTACTGTTACTGCAACTTTAGTGTATTATTTTTGTTTTTTTATATAAAAGAAAATTTGTGTCATGTGTCCTTGGGTTGTTGGTTTTTTCTTTTTTATTTGAATTTAGAGAAGGCTGGAAAGAAATGGAAATCCACAGCCCCATAGCATATCCCAGGTGTTTTTCTGTTTTTATTTTTAAATGTTATTGTTATGTTAATTAAATTAGGATTTTGATTCTTTGGATCTTAGATTAGTTGGACTTATGTTTTTATAGATTCTCTAACCTACATCCCCATTTTACTATCTTAGTTTTTTTAATTAATTTTATTAAATTAATTTTAATTAGGTTATTTTAAATAATTAGATTAATTTATTTTAATTGATTCATTTAAGTCTAATATTAGATTACTTGTTCTTATTTAATTTTAGTTTCTAAAGAATAAAAATACATAAAAAACATGCATTTTTTTATTTTTTAAAATCAAATTAATCATCCATTTTTTACAAATAACAGGATTGGTGGATACACATCCACCATATTTTTTGGTTGGCTCAACGCCTAATCAATTAACTGTTCAACATCAATAATTAAAATTCATGTGAATATTGGTTTTGCTCAAGCATTAATCAAACGTCATCGCTCAACACGATAAACAAATTAAAACATTTAAAATTTATCAAACAAATTAAATAAAAAATTTTGCCTAGCGCGAAATAATTTCAATGAAGATCGACTCTTCTTCAATCCACCAAATCAAAATATCAAAATAGTTAATCAATCTAAATTATTTTTTTGTTAACATAATAAAAATCCAAGATTATTTTCGAAAAAGAATTAAGGAGAATTGTTATCAAAATTAACTACGAACTGCGTCTACGATCACTCAATTTACAACCCGGACAAGGTTCAAAGATAATTTGAAATCCATTCTACACAATCCTATAAAAAACACCAACTAACACTACGAACTATGAATTGATACTCTGATTTCTCATAAGAGGATACTGTTGGCTGAAGATTTTGATGATATTGTTCGAAGCAAAACAAGTTGGACGTTTCGATTGGAATAAAGCAATATGTCATGTTTCGAAATGGTAGAAGCAGTGCTTCGAATGGGCATATCAAAGCTTGGAGCTTCGAGTGACAGTTATGAGGATATCTTCAAAAGAAGTCTCGAAGTGATAACAAGGTTGTGTCCAAGAAATGCGTTCGAAGCGAAGAAGTGCCAAAACATTTGAAATTCAAATGCAAGCGGGATGTTCGAAATTTAAAATATATGCGCTGGAGCATTTGAAGACGCGTGGAAGCAAGAGAGAGGCATTACTCTGCATGTTCTGAACGTGGCAGAATCTTATAGCAAGACCGTTATGGTCAAAGTAGTATAAATAGAAGTCTTAGCATTAGGATTTCGTGTGTCATATCTATTGTACAAAAAACTCAGTAAACATTCAAAATACCACATGGCTAGGGAAACGAATGCACGAGCAATGTACGTATGATAACTGTGATACGGTGGGAGAACTGACTTGAGGTTTGCGTTTGTATTCTCACTTGTTCGGTTGAGCAAGAGTCGCCACCGACTTTTTATTTTATCCTAAAGGAAAGGTTAAAAAGCACAGCAAAAACCTTTTGAGATATTTCGTGGGTTCGGGGGGTAGATTATGAAAAGGGAAGGTATTAGCACCCTTTTCATCCATGGTTATCCATGGGCTCTTAGTTACTTGGTTTTTTAGATCACTTGCCTTGATTTTCGATTGCCTGAAATTGTGGTGTGTGTGTGTGTTTTGAAAATGTTTTTGAAGAGATGCCTTGTCTTAGGCAACCAATGTATTTGACTCGTGTTTGAGTGTTTTACAAAAGTGTGTATCTTTTCGAAAAGATGTTTCAAATGTTTTTGAGAGTTTGTTTTGAAAGTGTTTGTGGAGTGTGATTTTTGAAAAGGAGGCAAGTGTTTTTGCAAGTTGATCTCAAGTAACTAAGAGTTTTGTCTACCCCTATTGTACTCAAAGGTTTTCTCTATGTTTTCAACCCTTTTTAACAATTTTGTTCCACCATTGAATTTGGTGGACAATCTTGCGTTTAGGATGTTTAACGGGACGGGCGCGGGTCATCGTATGGACCATGAATGCAATGGTGCCAAGTGTCTTTGGCAATTTGCTTTGAAGGGACTTGATCATTTTGATAGGCGACTTTCGAAAGCGTCATCGAGGGACTCATGATCATTTGAATTTGTTTTTCCAAAGAAACTCGACGTGCAAGCATGGCCCATTTTGGAAGGCAACATGTGGGATTACCCTAGGGGGTGCAAGTGTGATTGTGTATTGATTTCATGTATTTGTCTTGTATTAGGTTAGCTAGCGTTTGGTTTTATGTACATACAAACCCTAGGTCTAATCATGGTATAATTGGAAAGCGATAAATTGCAAGAATTTAAAGTCTACGCTATTACAAATAGTATCCGGGAGTGGGGGTACAAATTTACAAATGGGGATGAGACTTTAGGAATGTAGTGTCCAATAATTTACAACCAAATCGAATTGCGATCAAATGTAATCAATGTATATCAAGGTATAAGAATAGTAATTGTATGTGTATCAAGTGTATAATGTGAAATGTATTGTATATTGTGTAAGTGTATGTATGTAATTTATTTACAAGTTAAGATGTGTATTATTTAAGTATTGTTTAACCTAAATGAAAAGAATTAAATGTTTATTTATTTAGTCTTTTGTAGTCTTGTATATTTCTTCAATATGTGCAAAAAGAAAATTTACTAAAAGAAAAGAAGATGTTCTAAGTTTGAAAATTATTATTTATTTGATATAAATTTGTATCTTCATATTTTTGTTTAATATATACAAAAGAGGTATTTTAATTAAAAGAAAGAAAGAATGTTTTTTCAATTTTAATTATATTATGTAAAAAAAAGATGTATTTTCATTTATTATGTACAAAAAAGTATTTTACTTAAAAGAAAAATTAAGTAACTATGTATTTATGTACAAATTGATGTATTTTAAGAAAAGAAAGGAAAATATTTTAGATTCTATTCTTTTATGTATTTTTACAAATAAGAACATTTTAATAAAAGAAAGAAAAGAAAAGTTTTTAGTTCCATTATATTATGTGTCATTGTATAAATAAAATGTTTTAATAAAACAAAACAAAAAAGAAAAATGTTTTAGTGTTTTAATTATATTAATGTAACAAGTAAAAAAAAAAGATGAGGAAAAGAGTTGAATAGGCCAAAAGGGGTTATGCTGGCCCAAATAAATGATCAGCATAAGAAGTAAAAGGGGGGTGCGCTTGATAGCTTGACAATGGGCTTAAGCGTTGAAGAGGGCAAGGCCCAGCACGTTTTTTTTTTTAGGGTTGCAAGGCTTTGTAACATTTGGGACTTAGGGTTTCAGAATGAGAACAGAGGCGCGCCGTTCGTTCGTTTCACTTCATCTTCTTCGTTCGTTCTCAATACCATGGATTCTGAGCCAAAATCCTTCATGCAAGGCCACCAGACGCCATCATCCCTCCTTCTTCCTCCGTAGACCACCCAGACAAAGTTTACAAGGTATGATTTCGGTCTCAATCGTGTTAGGGTTTTCGTTATCTCTTTTGGTTTCACATTTTGATTTCATATTCTGATATTATATGTTTTCGTTTGCCACTTGAAATGTATGAAGAGGGTATAAGAATACTACCTTTTGGAGATGGAGGAGGAGGGAATTTGGAGGCGCTGAGGCGGCTTTGACGGCGGAGGAAAATGTGGTGGAGCTTCTGCTTCCTGGTTTGTGTATTTTTGCCCCTTAGGTTTAATGATGACAATGGCTGAGAACCTCTTATGATTTCGCCTTTTTTTTTTCTCTTCTTCTGTTAACTTGGCTTACATGCTTATGTTGCCTTGAGATACCTTTGCCTTTTGTTGGGTTTAAACTCTTTTCTTCTTCTCTTGCTGTCTTGATGCCTTTCCTGTATGCTTGAATATTGTTTTATTGATATGCTTGATGATGATCACTTGAGAGCTTGATATATTGAGATGCTTCTTTTTACTTCTCTTCTGGTTGCCTCGATACTTTGCTTCTGTTGTCTTTTGGAATGCTTGTTGTATGCTGAGATTGAATATCTTGAGGCCTTTTCTGTATGCCCTGTGATGAATCTTTTCTGAGGGCCTCTTTATGTTGCTTCTGAGTGCTTTGATGCCTTGAAACGCTTCCTTTTGATTGTTTCTGAATGTTGGTATGCTTATGAGATATGCTTGATGATGCTTGGATAGTGTTTTCTGAGGGCTTTTCGTTGTTGGCCTTGAATGCTTTAGTTTGGAAGGTTTGAAATGAAGGTTTATGGCTTTTTCTGGTTTAGATTGTTGGTTGGTGCTTTAAATGGTAAGGCTTCAGGCTGTATAGTTTGTGTTGTTTGAGGCTTGACAGGATTTGAATGGTAAGGTTTGAAAACTCAGGCAGGGTTTAGACTGGACTGTTTTGCTTTGGTTCAAGGTTTGAATATTTTTGGCTTAAGCTTTATGCAGGTTTGACAGGGTATACTGATTTTGAAAGGGGTTTTATGGCTTTGACTGATGTTTAGCTTTTGTTTATGTTTGTTAATGGTTTTGACAGGG